GTGTGTGTGTGTGTTACACCAAGTGACAGATCTGAGGGACTCTGCCACTGCGGCTGTCACCCTGAGACTCTATATATGACTTATCATTTTTAAAATTTTAGGTGATACCATCGTGAAAATGAAATCAATCACTATTATCTTGGCTGTAGTACTTGCTGGAGTTTACGCTAGCAGATTACCTGACCGCGTACAACTAGTTCCAACCGAATGTAAGTAAATATAGTAAATGAGCTTTAAAATTGCGTCAATTGTTCTTCTTTTTCAGTTCAACCACATCGATACTTCAGAAGTCGAAATTTCTTAAAATTTTATTAATTGCCCAGTCATGACTTTTTTACATACGCATAGCTAAAATATAAACAAAAATGATGATATTTTTACACTAACAGTTTAGTTTACACTTACAGTACTTATAATTAAACATGTAAGTCATAGTCACATAAAGGTTGAGTGGACCATCGGTCAAAAGTAAGCTGCGGAATTTGAACCATAGAGCTTTGGTTGGTGACTATTTCTTTCTTGACTTAAGTTTTAACTCAGTGTTACTGAACACGTCAATATCATTTGCCTATTTAGGGAGTGTTTGGTTAGGGCATCGTAGAATAGTGTCCGCCTTAGGCTGCCTTTCCACCAGAGATGTGCGACGTAGCGAGGAGGTACGTAACTAAAAATCCACGCATAGAATTACTTCATTTTCCTAGCGTCGCTTAGCGCAGCTCCGGTGGAAAAGGGTTAGCGGAGCTAAGTATTTGTACATACAAAATGGCGAGAGATGTGTGTGAGAGATGTGTGCGAGAAATGTGTGCGAGGGATGCGGGCGAGGAATGTGTACTAAACAGTGCAGGAAACTAGGGCTACTGAAAGTATGACACTAACTGACACTGACACATCGCAACCGCTCACCCCACCACACCGTACCCCGCCCGCGCAGATCTGAAAAGAGTCCGTAACGCATCTTCGCACCGCGCCGCTGTACAACCTCTCATCACCTAGCTACCTCGCACAGCTTTGGTGGAAAACATCACACCGTTTCACAGCGCTGCTACACATCCTCGCACCGTCCCGCTACTTCGCATACCTCTGGTGGAAAGGCAGCCTTAGTGCTTGTTAAATTAAAATTAAAGTGTCATTGTGCAGGTTAAATGAAATTTGAACAGAGCTTAGAATAATAAAAGGAACAGAGGGTATTTGCGCTAACGTAGTTGCTTTAACATTATCCCGTTATCACGTGATATCGCCGAAAACAAAAGGATTTAAGCCAATAGGGGAGGGTTAATTATCCTCTTAGTAAGTTAAAAATATAATTTGGACCCGTTTACTGTTTAGATTTTCCAAGTCCTCAAATATTTCAGACACTTGTTCGTCTGGCGAAAATTGATTTGGGCTAAAAAAGTAATCGTGGAATATTTGCCACTCACAAGAGTAATTGTATTGTTTATAGTACCTGTTTATAGTACTTATTGTACCTGTTTATAGATCCAATCGAAGGCCAAAACGTTGTAACCGATTCAATAGCGGAAGCGTTAGAAAATGTAAGCAATCGAATCCGTGACGCTGGACTTGACCCTTGGACGTTCGACAGGGCTGGATTTGCCTTTGAACTGCCTGTACCTGTGTAAGTATTTTCAATATTATTTAATTCGGCCCGTGCAATGATGATTCATGTCAAAAAAATGAATTGTGGTGTTCCATAAACTAATTTTTATTTTGACTAAACATTTATATATTTTTTGCCTTTTTAAGACCTACAGTCTTCTTCTGTCACGAAATCGTCGGTCATTTGATGTTACTTGGCAGTGAAGACATAGTTTTTTGTATGTTTATTTATAATTATTCAAGTAAATTGTAACTATTAAACGAAATTAAAAGTTAAACGATCTTGCAATGTTAAACAGTGATATCCCATATTATAAGAAAATTTTATTACTTAAGTTGTCGCCTGACTTCGGATACAAAGGAAATGAAGCTATTTTTATCGTATATTTGTTTTTTCAAATAAACCAATGTTTCGTGGCCTTTACAGTTCTTACGGTCACGGCTGACCTTTTTTTAGGAAAGAAAATAAAAAACAAATATAGATAAAAATAGTGTCATTTCCTATATGTAACCATTGGAAAAACCTAGGAATGCGACTAGGTTACAAATGTAAACGGTATTTTCCGTACATATTATGCGTTATTATTAAAATTGTTCTTTTTCTAAATAGGATCTTGTCGATCGATGCTCTAATCGAGAACATCGCGTTCAGAGGTCTTAGCAACATCGTCATCAACAGCATCAATTTTGCAATACTATCTGGAAGGTTGACCTTGGATATTTCCTTGCCTGAATTATCCGTTGAAATTGGTAAGCTTCATGAGTTCTGTTTAAAATTTGACTATTACGTTCGAACCCCGAAATGCTACGACACTTATGACGTCAATGTTCGAGTAGTGAAAACTCGAAATAAGTTGTTTAAAATTGTTCTACCTGGCGACTGTTTCTTTGAAATAGACCCAGATTTATATTTTATATTACGACTTCAATGAAAATCAAACCTTATTTCATTAAAGGTAATGTCGCATTGGACGCAGTTGCTCTAGGAGCGGATATAAACGTACATATAAACGGCAGGTAGGGATGGTTTTACTAACTTAATTTTATATTTGTCTATTTACTTCTCTACTTACTCTTCGATTCTTAATTTAAAAAGTTTGTGGAATTACATCTATTTGCCAAGTTCTATTGTCACACTAAACTTGACACTGTGACACTCGGTGAGCAACTACCCTCGTTTGCTTTGTTTTTATTAAAGTCATTGTCAGGTTTGCACCCTACAATAACAACGTCACTTTCTAAAGTCTCATCCACACTAACCACTGATATAGTTCCTAACACTGTTGTACATTTATTTCTCTCGTGAATTTTAGTGTAATTTGTGTTTGTCTTTGTGTGTGTCCATTGCACGCGTGATACAGGGTTTCCCTAGTGCGGGGTTATAAGCGTGGGCGTTACTATATTTTATTATTACATAAAGGTTTTCTTGAAGACAGCAGAAAGTCGAGACAGACAGAGAAGTTCAGGATTTCCTAGCATCTGTCTGTCCTGAAGTTGATAAGGGTGTGATTTACCAGGAACAAATAAATAACAGATGCTTTTTGCAGATTATCCGTGATCGAACCTCGTGTTTCTGGTGAAGTAGTTCTGAACTTCCTCGGTGTTATTGTTGGTCCTATAATCCGTTCAATAGACCTTGAATTCGATCTCCAAAGGATTCAGGTAATCACATTAAGAAACAAGTGGTGTTGATGGTTGAGCATATGTGCTTATTGTGTTTGTTTTTACTGATCTTTTCATCTATTTATCTTTCAGTACAATGGCCGCTTCAACTTTTTTGGTACTGATATATCGGAACGAGTCAATACTTTTGTTTCAGTAAACATACCCAACGCTATTGTGGCACACCAGGTAATAAGATTTTTCATTAAATGTTTCATTGATTTTTTTAATAATGAAAATATAAAATTTTAGAACATGTAAAATTGGTGTAATAGTGGAAACGTTTGACCACTAGAATTTAGTCACCGCATTAGCTGCTAATGATATGTCATTATTACCTACCCTCTAAATAACCTTTAACTTGAAAGTTAGTCTGAAGTCAAAGTCAGTCCTTCATGTTTCCTCATGATTCTTTTTACCGTGAAACAAATTATAAATAGTAATTTTAATTAACTATGGATCGAAAAGATTTAGTGACGCTAGTTGGACTTAAAATTGAATCCGGGTTTACTGTACACCAATTTTGGAACTAGGCTGTTGTCAGCTATATCCACAATGAAAGACAGACAATGTATTAAATTTCTTTGTGCATAATTATACGTTACATCATTGACATCATTTGAATAAAAGTGTAAATTTATTTACCGTAACTATGGCATATTTGATTTTGACGAGTTAAGAACTGTATTGCTCCTTCACGGTTGGATTCCATTTTCAATTTAACATCAGGCGGAGTAGAGTCATCTGCATGTTACGTATATAAAGGAAAAAGTGTGACTGTGACTTTAATAACAAAGACACACAATTTTTCTTTACTTCTACTTGCACACTAGCTGTTTAAGGCATTTTTTACTTGAATAACATTAAAGTAGAAAAAGCTTGAGTAGTTTATGAAGTTAAGTGTTTATAAGTAATAGAAATCAATAAATGTTCTTTTTTATTACAGCAAGAAGTCAACGAGCTTGTCGAGATAATCGCTCGGCAAATTATTGAAGATTTTTTCTGAAAAAGGATTTAACTGTAAAGGGGGATCATTCCACTTTTTAATACTAACTTTTATTTCAGTGGAATTTCTGTACTAGAAGTTGTTTGTATTATTGGGTGGAATAACATCCTCTTCGGGTGCAAAGCAATGGATTTGAATTTAAGCAGTGGATTGAATAAATTAAATGTTAACTTATATTTAATTTATTCAATGATGCTCCTCCTCCTGTAAATACAAAATTTTATTAATAAATAATTATTTTTTAATTTGTTAATTTGATTATTTTATATACACTTAAAAAGTATAGTATAATTAGACAGGTATCCCAACTTCCGCCTGTTCGGTGCGTCAATGCCTACACTTTGTAGGGTTTTCACATAATTATTATATTTATGCCTATAGTTGCGTAGGAGAGTGTGCGATGGAATTACATAATTTAATTCTGCCTTTCCCTATCCATCACCGGGGGACTAGGCGTAGGCTTGGGTTCCACCCCTATGTTGTGGATATTCCAAAGATTCGCATGAAGCGTTACGCTTCTACATTTATAAGGCGAACGGCTATGGAGTGGAATTCTCTGCCTGGAGACTTGAGGAGACCTTTTCAAGGCGACAGTGAATAGGTATTATTTAGGTGTGCATGCTCCATCGTCACTTTCCATCAGGTGAGATGGAGGTCAAATGCGAACTTATATTTTATATAAAAAAAAGTTGTAAAAAATAATTTGAAAAAAAAGAAAAAAAAGAAAAAAGAAATCATTCCTCACTGTTCTCGTGCTATAATGTAATAACCTTTGTCAGATGCTGTACTTACAGTGAAGCAATATTATGGCTTGGACAGCTTTTAACCTAGTATATAGAGCAAGTTAGATCTCGGATAGAGTATTATAGTCATCTGTGGGATGGCTCAGCGAAATATCAAGTTTCTCTTGACCACAGAGCCAGAAGACTTATATTAGACTTATATAAACTAGTATATATTATAGACGATAAGCTTAAGTCTAAACTTTATGGATTTGTTCAGTGCAACCGTAAACTCCACTTGTTCAATCCACCCGCCCGCTTTTACCATCGGATATCCAGTTTAGAGTATTACGTAAGGCGAGATATCATTTATACTTGGTTGATATTCGTTTCCGGCTTACTAAGCACTTTTCGTCATCTTTTATAACGTGCTCAGTCTAGAATTGGAATTTCCAGCCTGCATCTGTGTTTCCGAGCACATTTAACCCGAGTACCTTAAGGTACGATTGCATAGGCATCTCTTGGACGAGCTCGTTCTATCGCGGCCCCCATCTTTGCTCCAGGACTAGATAGTGATGAATAACACATTAATTTGTAACAAAAAATCCTAAGCTTTGACAAAACCCTTGTTTTCACGTATACATTAAACACAGAGAAGTACTACCCTATTTATTTCTGCTGCCAAGCGGTAATGTGCGCATTACGTCAGTTGCCTTTGCTTTGAAGGGTAAAGGTGCTGATGAAATTACAGGCACTTGAGACTTTTCAATTTATATCTCAGGGTAACGGGAGCAGTGGCAGTGCCCCTCAAATCTTTGCGATTTAAAGCTCTGACCGGCACTGCAACTATTATGGACAAGTGTGATGGCTACCGCCAGGCAAACGACTTCGATCTTTACCCTTCGATTTTTTACTGTCGTTAATGAGCTTCTCTTTTTCTGCCATATTCTTACCAAGTCATTGGTTTTTCTTTCCGTTCAAATCCTTCCTTCCATTCTTCTCCAGCACCACATCTCAAATGCTCGCAACCGATCTCTGTCTCTTCGTATTATTGTCTATGTCTCATTATCATGCAATGCTACTCCAAATGTACACCTTTGCCAGCTGTTTTCGGGCCCTTCTTAAAATTTTTGCTTTTAGCTGATTTTTTATTGTTAAAAGCCTTTTTACCATTGCAATTCTTGACACTGTATCCGAAGTACATCGGAACTCATTGGTTATCAAACTGTCTAAGTTTTAATTTTAATTATGTCATCCAATGGTATATAGTATGTATTCATTGTATAGCTTTATGATTGGGTTATCAGTACTCATATTTATATCATTCTAGGAGAAAAATAAATGCCTTTTTTAAGAACTTACGTCTACATATTATATAAACATTAAACTACACAACTAATAGGAACGATCTTTTTAAATATTGTATGTTTAAGAAAAAAGTCATTTTTCAAATCGTAGTTTCATAATAGCTTCCTCCGAAATACAGATGAAGACGAAAATTACGTTATTTTATTGTTACACGACGCAACGATGACACTATCTTTCTTTATGCTACTGACCATAAAGCGTAAATAAATGACGTGATTGCGTTATCATTATCGATGTTAAGTGATTTGCCGATAATTTGGTACTAATGATTAAGATTATCAAATTCCGACTGGGAAGAGACGAGGTAAGTAGTGTATTTTCCATTTAATTATCCAATTACTGATGTTATGTTTAATTTAGTACACACGTTTCGACCTTTGCCTGCGATTGGCCTATATGAGGATTATTAGGCCCTTATGTCTCTCACTGCAGGACACCTTTGTCCAGTTTAAGATGTGTATGATACAGAACCGTAACTACGTTGTCTATTAGATGAGTTACCTTGCGTACAAAAACAAAAAGCACATTGCTTCTGACGAAGTTTATAATTTCTCTTTTATATTTTGTGTTTCCAGGTTTCAAAAATGCGCTTGATAACTATTTGCATGTTAACCGTGGTGGGCTTCGTCGCAGCTCTGCCGGTTGAAAACGTTGGTGTTGCTGAAGCTGAAAGAGGTTAGGTACTTTTATATGAAAATCATCATTATTATGTGATGTCCATTCTGATATCCATGTAAATTAGATGTACCCAATAACATCTAAGCTGTGGCCCTTGGCCATATCCGCTCAAGCGATGCGCTCCTCCTAACGCAAAATGGCGGCTATTTGGTTTTGCAAATTAGAAAAGGATTCAGTTTAAATACAAGTTTTTATAGAAAAAATATTATTCTGCATTGCTAAATAAATACCCTCCGCACTACCAACAAAACATCTCAAATAAAATGCAGTAATACACCGGAAATCCTGCACTTAAAAAGCACTGATGAAATTTTTGGTGTACTTGGATAAATATGATAATATTCCGTTTGAGTGGTTCTAACGTTTACCATGAAATTACTCCTTAAAGTATAGTTTATAAACATTTATATTCAGGGTAAACTTAAAAAACGCTACTTACGGTATGTTTTCAATAAATAAACACCGAAATCACCAGCCCAAACAATAACACACACGATTGTCGTGACGTATTTTTGAAGTTGTTTATTTTTTTTAAATGACAGACCCAGGTATTAAAAACTTTATGGTTTGCTAGAGTAGTTACCGAAATAGCAATTAATATTAGTTCTTTTACCTGTTATAACTTCGATATCCGATAAATCGGTATAAAATCATCACCGGCACCTCTAGGTGTGGTATGCATCTACGGCTGCATGTATCGCGTGAGCGGATAAAAAGCTCTGGAAAAACTTGACAATTAAGATTTAAATCTAACTCTATGCCGCTTATGATAAGAACGGTCAAATCACAAAGTGTCAAGCTTAAAGTGCTCTTAACTGTACCTAGTTGAAAAATGTATCTTCATATTTTCAAATCTTTGTAATTCAGTTCAATTCAATGATCCATTTATCGATCTCGTTTGTAAAAAGTGATGTGAGTGGGGTATGGTTATGAGTAAACAAAAACCAAATATAATTAACCATTATAAACCATTCTTAACAAAGAAAGAACTCAGATCGTGAAGCGAGTATTTTACGTACCGTTATCCTAGTGCGGTGTAAACCGCGTGTTGAAGTAGATTTGCTTCTAAGGCACCACGCGCGTGATTACGTCGTCGCTCACGCCGTTGCGTGGTGCGGATTAGTGTTATTATCGCCTAGTAAATATGTATCAAATAATCAGGAAAAGCAAAAGGAAGACGATAACGGAGAAACAAAAAGTTTTAGTTACGCCCATAAATTATGTACAGTAAATTCGAGTACGGTAATATACAGATCGCATATCGGTTTCTTGATCTTCTTGGGCTAATTTGTTTATATTTCTTCCTAAATATAGCTTAGCTTTGTGGCAGCTTATTTAAGTTCTTGTTAAACATTGTAATAAAAATGTCCTAGACAATCACACTAATTACTAGATCTCAAATTAGGAAATTCCCTGTACTATGACCACCAGAACAACGGAATTCATTCAGGTGCACTATCCAGAACACCCAGCCCAGAACCAATTTTGAAAATTGCTTCTTCAAAATTGGTCTTTCCTCATTTAGCGACTATAGTGCAAGCCGTTGGGCGACCGAAGTTATTATTATTAGACTTAATCACAGGTTATTATGTAAATAGTTCGGTTTAAATACAAAGATGTATTCAATTTATGGAGTATCTTTTTCATTAGTTACAACAATTATTGATTTTAAAAATGAAGGTTAACACCATAGGATAACAACACTCTCCTCACTAGCTAATCAGAAAAGTCCTCGAATTGGGGTTATGAAATATAGAAGAAGACGTAATGCAAGATGGCCCTCCAGTAAATGGATGGATGAGGCCGTTGTAAAGTCCGATACTAGAGGTTCATTGACTTAGCTAGGTCCATTATGTTCAATAATCGTCACCTGCCTGGTGGTAATTAAGTTCGCCTTTTAGTTCTTAGGACACTAGCGAGTAAAGTTGTGGCTGGTACTTCTTTTCATCAACATAATTATATACATTATCTGATTTCAAATTAGGGAATTTCCCTGTACTATGAGAACTAAAACGGAGTATACTCATAGAAAGTTAATTTGCCAAATTTATTCTGACGGGTACCGAAACCCGGAACACAGTAAAAACAAAATATGATAAAACTTCTATTCCAGATGTCGCACCAAGAAATACCATAATCGAGAATATAATTCTGGACATAATAGAAAACCTGCGAGATTTAATGATCAATGGCAGTGATGATATCCCAGTGCTAGATCCTTTGAAACTCGACCGTGTATATTTGCAGTTGGATAATCTTGGACTAGAAAAGTGAGTACACACTTGTCCACGTAATAGGCCGGAGAAGTGATAATAAATATTTCGCGAATGTCCTACCATATTCTTAGCAAATGGACATTAGCTCCCTTTAGCTGATGTAGACACTTTGGAGATCACGAAATCGTTAAGGACACTACTAAGTGTAAGTGATGAGGGAATGATGGCTGAATGGGATACTTCAACACTTTGGGCATACTCAAAGTAGGTAGTAGGTAGGTCGCAGTGAATGGAAGGGTTGACTCAAATTGCCATAGCCAGGCGAAGAGGCGTTGCGTTGAACAATACAACATAAACTATATCATCTACAAGGCAAGGTTATATTTCTTTAAACAAAAAATGAAAAAGAAGGTGCAGCAAGCGGCGCCGCGTGCACTTTACAATACAATAAACTTGCAATTTAGAACACATGTGATGGTGATGATTTTTTGTTTTATGGAAATGTAACTTAACCAGTCGAAGATAAAGTTTATATTTTATTGCTCAATGCATTAAAGTTGGCAGGATGACTTTGGTGTTGTTGATGCAGTAGTATTGCTTTTGCGTAATAAATATGCTCAAATTGTACATGTTTCAGTTCTCACATAGAAGCAACTGATTTAGTAGTAACAGGTCTGAGCACTTTCGAGATAGATGACTTCAGTTTCACACCAGCGCCGACAGTCCTTCAACCACTCAGACACGCCGTGGTACTAGATGCTTACATACCTGTAATCGATATCGATGCCAGTACGTATTATCAATAGCTTTGTATTTAGGGCACAAAGACAAGTACTGTAACTCCCGCAGCGTAGGGTTGTCATCTGTGATCAAATATATTGGTAGATACACTGTAGTTCAAAAAGTGGCACTGTCGTAGGAAGGCAAAAATCACCGATATAACTTCATTAGCTCTCTTTCACCAGGTGACTGCGCTCGGATTATGTTAAAAAAATTGCCAAAACTACACTGAAAGTATAAGAAAAAGTGGAGAATCGTGCTTGCAGTAACTATTGATGACTCTGAAAATACAGTGTGCTAATTTGTTTACACGTCTTTATTAATCTTAATGTTTAATTACAATTCAGATTTTTGTGGAACAGTTTTGATTTAAAAATCGTACCTTAAGGAAAATAAGACATTTATAGAAACGCTGCAGTGGATGGCGCGTTTGTGGCGCTGTTGCACCTCTATTAATTCTCATACAATATTTAGACGAGCAGGTGCAGCGCTACAGCCGCGCAGCAGTCGCGCCACGTACTCGCCGTCTTGTTTGAAGACCTAAACCGACCGTAAAATGTTATGGTGACAATATTAATACTTTTTAAAAGATAAAAATAATATCCTCAACAATTTAATTACCTGATGTAACTTTGGAGACTTCAACTACAGCCTTAAGGCTCACATTTATAAAACGAATTTTAACGTCGATTTAGCAAAAATGGCGAAGTAAACATTTTTTCATGTTTACAAAACGAATTTCGCCGAAGTTTAAGTAAGAAATTACGAACTAAACTTAAATTTCTATTTCATTTCTTGCTTAAACTTCGTTTTAAGTTCCTTTTGTAAATATACGAAAAATTTGCTAAACACGCCATCTAGTCGAAGTTCGTTTTTGATACTTGTGAAAATCCTATAATGATCCCTAAATAATGCATAGTACTTCTAAGCGACCAAGTGAATTATAAATTTATAATAAGTATAATATTCACTCTATACGCATACATTTGCGAGCATTCGTAAACACTGACAAACCCACTTACACGCACCCACACCACTAAGTATACACGTTCATGCACACACATACACACACACACGTAATCTCAATTCGTCACCACATTTGTTTACTGTTTAACGTATTTTAATTTATGAAAAAAAAAACTGATTTGTGGTGAGACCCTAGAGATCTGTAACACAGGTCTATATCTATCTATGTAAGTACACACATCAAAAAAAGTTTGCGATCACTTCGAAAAACTGAAATCTTTTTTGTTACTGTAGATTATATTATGATTTTTTCTTCTTTTTAGATTCTTTATTTAAAAATAAATTAGAACATAAAACAATGACCCCGTTCAATTGTTTTTTCATATAAAAAGGCTTTCAGTCCTAGCTTACGCTCATTCAGAAATCTGATTTAGTCAATTATAAGCGATTCAAGATATTTTTCGCGGAAAGTTGTGATTGAAAAAATGCCAAGAGGATTATCAGAGGTTTTACGAGCTAGAATAGTAACTTTGAGGGAAGAAGGATACACCACGAGAGTAATAGCACGCAGACTTGCTATATCCCAATCCTGTGTCGTGGCTACGTTGCAGAGGTATCACGGAATGGGGAATTTAGCAGACCGACCCCGCAGCGGTTGCCCAACTGTTTTGACAGCTGCCCAAAAGCGCTATATTTGATTGCTGGCAGCCCGTGATCCAACAATCAACGCCACTAAAATAAAAGCAGAAGTCAGGGCCGCCTCTGGGCTTGAAGTTAGCACGCAGACCGTTCGCAATTGCTTGCACCAGGCTGGATTACGAGCACGGAGGTCTTGGCGAACTCCGCTCAATTCCCGGCAACGTCAACAACGACGATTGCAGTGGGCTAGACTTCGGCAAAATGAAGAAGGTGAGGACGAAAACATTTGGCAAAACTGTCTCTTCGTTGACGAATCCCGAATCAGCACTCATCCAGATAACCGACGTGTCCGTGTCTGGAGAAGACCAGGCGACCGTGAAAGACAAAGAACTGCCACTGGAACAGTTCAGCAAGGCGGAAAATCGGTGTCCTTTTGGGGTGGCATTATGATTGGAGCTAGAACGCCTTTGATCCCGTATCGGGGCTTCATGACAGCAGACATGTACAAAGCAGTTGCTATTGATGATATCGTCAGACCATTCCGAGTAAACCATGGGCACCAATTTGTACTGGTCGATGATAATGCGCCCGCACATCGAGCTCAACGAGTCAATGCTGCTCTTCAAGAATACTATATCACACGATTAGACTGGCCTGCCGGCTCGCCCGACTTAAACCCAATAGAGCACGCGTGGGATGCTCTTAAACGAGCAGTATGGAACCGTGAGCCACGTCCCCAAACAGTTCCAGAGCTCAGGGAAGCCGCTATTGAAGAATGGGATAGGTTACCCCAGGAAATGCTGGATAACTTGATCCTCAGCATGCCCAGGAGGATCTTCGCATGTATTCGAGCCAGGGGAGGAGTTATTTTATATTGAATTCACACCTTTTAATAATAAATTGTTATTTAAGTTTAATTAAACAGTCTTTTTCTTTCTATGAAATTTCTATCACTATTACATTATGATTAATGGCTCAATTTTTTAAAATAAATAATAAAAAATAGTTTTATATTTTAATTTCAAACAGGGTATTCCTATTTAAAGAAAGCATACAACATAGATTTTTTCTTGATAAAGTTAAATTTAAAGAATTATAGGAGCTTATACTATTGATCGCAAACTTTTTTTGATGTGTGGAGGTAACTTGTCTTTATAAATGTCAGTCTAAAAGGCATCTTTTTTATAATATCTAGTGACGAGACGAACAAATCGTGCGTCTGATGGTAAGCTACACGCCTATCCATAACAGTTGCAGTACAACTCAGAGCTTTAAATCGCAAAGATGACGCCTGTCATCCTGAGCCATAAGATGACAAGTCCCCGTGCGTGTAATTTCACCAGTACCCTTACCCTTTAAAACCGGAACACAGTAATGTTGATATTACTGATTGGCGGTTGAAGTAGGTAAGGTGGCAGCTGTTACTATTCTGGACGAACTCTTGCACAAGGACCTCTAATGTTACTGAAATCTACTACTGCTTTACGATGCTGTGTTTCTATGGTTTTACATAGTCTTACGAGTTATCAATGGGAATTAGCTTTCGTGTACTGTGCTCTTTTTGTGTATTATAAAGAAACGTCAACTTCACAGAAGATTGGCAGATAACTTGATGAAAAAAAAAACTTCAACTGTTTGTAACAAATCGATAACCTTTCAGAAAATTACGACCTCAGCGTAATTGTTGTTGGATTTACTATTTTTGGCAATGGTGAAGCTAAGTAAGTATTGCGTAACTAAAAACTTTCATTCAAATTAATTCGATGTCGTCGGGGATTGTGCAGTTACGCGTAACTAGCATTGGGTTTGAGTTTCTATTTCGGTAACTTAGTGGCCAAATCAAATCCGCGTATACGTATGTCGTGGCAACCAAATTAGCATTATATATGGGGATCTATTGGTATCAGTCCGTAGACAACACAAATTAATGTTTACTGTGAAAAAATGAAAATCCCTCTCCTGTAAAATATAGTTTAGTGCATGTACCAATGCCACATACGCGGATTTACATTATCCCTGACGATATGAAGGGGAAAGAAACGGTTTAAACGCCAATTCTATTAAAAATGAGTTCATGATGTAGTAGTTAGGTAACATTTTCAATTCGTATTCGTAACCATATTTACGTAAAAATGACGTAAATATGGTTACGATAAATATTACGATTTTTTTTATAAAAAAAGGCCTCAAATGTTTGTGGAATTACATCTGTTTGCCAAGTTTTATTGAAATCGGTTAACTGAAAATTCAATAGACCGGACTCATCCCCTGATTTGCCAATCTTAGAGGTGGAATATTTTCCTTAAATTTGAATTGGACCGAAGTACCCCATTTCCAACAACAAAGAATCATCCAAATCGGTTGACAATTGTCGTAGTAATTGCGTAACATACAAAATAATGCAGTTGAAATGAGAACCTCCTCCTTTTTCGAAGCCCGTTAAAAATAAAAAATATATAAACCAAAACGTTTATAAAATATTGCTTTTTATTTATCTTGTTAAGTTTGGCTATTAAGCCCTTTCCTCCCCGAACTATCGAAATATAGAATTTTTGAAAATATACAATTTGTTACCTTGTGACGCGTGCAACACATAACTTCTATTATTTGGTTTTAAGGCTGAAAGTAGTAGAGCCGAGGCTGAAGTTGAACATGATGGTGAATCTCGGTTTAATTGGCGGCATCTCTTTAAGAATACTAAGCGCAGAGGCAAGGATCGGATTGGTTGCTTTTGAGGTATGCATATTACGTGACTGATCTCTATCAACATTATATTAAAATTATCTAACAGTATAGGCTCCACATAAATTTGAACACGTAGTTTCTGTATAAACTAGAACGAAAGTCGATTTGCTAAGCTTAGCAGCGGGTTGTAAAAGTAGCGTGCTAGGCGTAGCAGCGGATGTTAAGCGTAGTGTGCTAGGCGTAGTAACGGGTTCTCAGCGTAGCATGCTAGGCGTAGCAGCGCGTTGTAAGCGTAGCGTGTTAAGCGTAACAGCGGGTTCTAAGCGTAGCGTGGTAGGCGTAGTAGCGGGTTCTAAGCGTAGCGTGCTAGGCGTAGCAGCGCGTTCTACGCCGGTATATATTCGGTATGTGGAGCTCAAAACACTAATTTTGAAAAAAAAAAAAATGTCCAATGAGAATATATCTAATAAAATGGCGTGGTAGCCTATTGGTTTGACTCCGGGCTCGCACCTCTAAGTATTTTGGAATATTTGTAGGAAATTTAATTTGAAATTTACCATAAGCTTTTTGGCGAAGGAAAACATCGTGATGAAAACTTTACATCGAAAAACGTTCAGAAACCTCGGAAAATGTGTGAAGTCCCCAACTCGCATTGGGCCAGCGTGGCGGACTATGGCCTAAACACTCACCTGAGAGGTGACCAGTGCCCAGTAGTGAGATGTATAAATGGGTTGATGATGAATGTCTAATGGCTTTTGTCATATAGCGTCTAGCAACCGGCTAAGGTCTGTTCTGAGTTCATACAAGTCAACATTCGTTAAAATTTGTTGTCAGATACTAATGCCGTTACTAATATTTTTATTTTTCCTGTTCATATTTTCAGTCTGGTTTGACGGGAGTATTCAACGACGACTACCTAAATGATTTCATTAATGATTTTCTTGGAGTGTTTATTCCAGAAGTGGTGGAGTTCTTTGAGGTAATTTATTTAGTTATTTACATTTCACACAACGTGTTAGGTCCAAAATTGTGATAACAATAACACTTAACCTACGTTAAAAATTAATAGTAGACGACCTCGGTGGCCAAATTATTTAGACTGTGGGCGCTGAATGCGGAAGTCCCGGGTTCGATTCCCGGTAGGACCAATTTGGGAAATTAACTTTTCTAAATTGGTTCTGGTCTGGATGATTTTAGATGTACCCCAGAGTGAATTCAGTTGCTCTAGTAGTCAGAATCTACGGAATTTCCTAGTTTCAGACCAGGAAATTGGTGTCAGGCAATCTGGAACATACATATACACATATGTACATATATATTAACACATGCAATAAATGTCTATTCGATTCTATTCTATTAATAAATAAGGATAATCAAAGCTATTGGGTATCATCTATAAGATGCTGTTATTGCTGTCTTACACTCTGTTTATACATATATAATAATAATAACTTAATTAGGGTCACAACCAATTTAGGTTCAATTTATGTTGCCGTGGAAAGAAATGAGACGAAATTGTACATAGCATAATGAACTTTATCTCAATCGTGTAAAGTAGACACGATACGGTAGCGGCGGGATTTTCCCGAGACTGCGCGGGAATATTCCGGAAGCGCGCGACCTTTTATTTACTAGTATCTTATACAATTGATGTACAGGGTCAAGTGGGGTAAGAGGAACTTGAAGCCTTAACTTATAATCTAAAGAGTTTAAGCGCTGTAGTCTCTCCGTCGATAAAACAGACAAATTAGTTTAAAGGATTTTAAAGAAATGTCGCTACGATGCTCCAAACGACCGAAAAAAAACTAAATTGGCAGTTTGTGAAACCATGAGAACACGAGGTATGCATAGGGCTATATATATTGGGCACTATAAGTTTCCGGAACTGGCCACTTACAAAAACAACATTTAAAAAGTAATTACAACATTGAATATGGAATTCTTTGACTGTAGTATACAGTTTATTTCATCTGAATGTGACTTGTTTTTACATTGTGGCGTAATTTTGGAAATTGGTTGTCTACATCACTACGGATTTAACTGGTGAAAATTGTCGTAGTATAATTTTCTACGACTTTAAGTGTAAATTAACAGCTCAGTGGAGCTTCGCTCGGCTTCATACTGCTTTTGGCAATGAAGCACCATGCAAGACGACTATTTATAGCTGATTTGCAAAATTCAAACGCGGTCGTGTGAAGAACCTCAGTGACGAATTTCGTGATGGCCGCCCGTCCACTGCTGTAAACAAAAAAAACATCGATGCTGTGCGCCGTATGATCAAAACAGACAGGCATGTGACATGCCATGAGATTTGGGCATAGGCATGAGTCAAATACAATAAATACTACACAAACATTTAGGTGTGAAAAAGCTGTGCTCTCGCTGGATCCCATACAATTTGACTGAGGCTCAAAAAACGGATCGTGTCAATTGGTGCAATGCCATGCTTATCAAATTCACCGAAGGGGCGTCAAATTTGGTGTGAAATATAGTAACAGGTGACGAAACATGGACTTATAGTTACGATCCCAAAACAAAGCGGTAATCGAGCGTATGGGCCTTTCAAGATGAGCCAAAACCAACCAAAGTGGCGCGCATGCAAAGTGCCTCTAAGCGGATGATTGCTTCTTTTTTTAATAAAACTGGACACGTGGCTACAGTTGCTTTGGAGAATAGTTGTACCGTGAATAGTGATTGGTACACGACCATTTCTTTGCCGGAAGTTATTGACAAACTCCGTAAAAATAACAGTAAACGCCGTATCATCTTGCACCACGATAATGCCAGTTCTCACACGGTCAGACAGACAAATGAATTTTTGAAGGTGAACAACGTTGACCCATCCTGCGTACAGAACGATCTGGCACCTTGTGACTTTTATTTATTTCCAAAAATTAAGAACCACTTTCGCGGTCAACGGTTTCTATCACCTGAAGAGGCTGTCGAAGAGTACGAAAAATATGTTTCAGAGATTGTCACATAAATGTTTTCAAAATTGGTTCATTCGGCTAACGGAGAATATTTTGACAAACAATAAATTCATTTCTGACCATTTACAGTATTTTTTTCTTAATCTTACCGGAAACTTATAGTGCGCCCCATAATTACCTTTATAAGAAATACGATGACTTAGGTATACGGAGACTGAACGTTAGTACAATTTACACGGCAAATTGCCTCCATGTGCCTGCCTCCGTGGTCGAACGGTTACCATGCCGGACTGCCACGCAGAGGTTCCAGGTTCGATTTCCGGGCCGCGAGAAATATTTGTATGGCCTACATTTATTTCTCTCGTGAGTTTAGGTGTAATTTGTGATTGTCTATGTGTGTGTCCATGGCACCCGCGACACAGGGTTTCCCTAGTGCTGGGCTATATTGAGTGAGTACGTTTAAAAAAGAAGTACTGAATTTAACGTGATGATTGTTAAGTGTCGATACAACCTCACATGGCTTTGGTTGATTACGTATAACAGTGAAAGTATTGAATCAATAACTTTGGACAAAAATGTATAGTAAAGTTGGGGATATACACGGATTAGTATACGGTGCGAAAACACGATTCCTAAAAATTTTCATGATAGGAAAAAAACATAAACTTACCTCCAAATTTTACAATAAAACCGCTGTATTGACTAGGTACTTTACATATACTAATGATTTTTTTATATCAACTGAATTAAATAACACACACACAGAACACGTATACTATACGAAATGTGCGAATAAACGTTTTTCTTTCTTTCTTTCTTTCTTTCTTTATACGATATACATTTTTGAAATGGCTTTAATTTATTTTGAAAAAAAAATAAAGCCAATGTAGCTGTCTCTCGACCCGCGTAATAGAACCAATTCGGTACGGGAAAAATTTGAATTCGAACTGAGGTAGTATCGACTCTTAAAATATATAAAGCTGATAAACAAAAGCAAGTTTAGTGCAGTTCAAAATTCTTATAAGACTGTCTATTCTTCCTAGAGCTCAAAACATTATTTTGATTCAAAATGAAGTATGTTCCTCTTATTCTACCTGGCTATAGTTCGTTATGCTATGGATACGATTATTCGCGTCCAGCTAAATTGAACCTGAGTCAACAGTTAGTCGTGCAAACGGGTTCTCTTACTAACCGTGTCTAAAAGATTTAGGGTGCCTTTAAATTGGATGCTTGTATATGAGCTACAGTGGCGCATCTGTGACGATGACTTGGCAACCGCGTCACTCCTAATTTTCAACAATATCTAGTCTGCAAAAATTCCGCGCGCGTAGCACGATTGTGGCACTGCTGCAGCTGCGCTTCTATAAGCATAATTTGAAGGCACCCTTGCGGTCTTTAGTCTAAAGTAAACACCCTGTATAGGTTTCTTTCAATCCTTTGTATAAATAGCATCCTTGGTGTAATAAAGTCACATCTGCAAAATAACAACTTTCAGGAGAGAGTTTTACAGATTCTGCGAACGAAATTAGTCGGTAACTACACTCATCAAAAGTATCTAGGGATCAAGCACGTTTTTGCCAATTACTGAAAGTTAGTTTTTTAATTAAATTTTTTAACACTAATGGTTTTTTTGACAATTCCATAATTTAGGAAAATAAATAATTTAACAAATATAATTAAATTTTTATTGAATTAATATTCAATTATTTTTTGTGAAATTACTCCACTAGTTTGTTATAATTATTAAAACAAAGATCGAAATATAAATCTTTATTTTTAATTAATACAGCGTAATAAGAAATCTTGATTCCTAGACACTTTTAATGTGTGAAATTAATGCTCAAATAGAAGAGAAGATTTCACATAGAAGATACGCATAATTTGTTCCATGTTATTATTTTTATGACTTTCACGTGATAAAAGCACTTTTAACATATGATTATAGGATGACATATCAGCGATCATAAGCCCCCTCATAGTGCAAATTGGTAACGATATTTTGGATAACATTGACATTGGAGATCTTCTGCCTACGGACGAAATTACAAAATTGGCTGGTCTACCCGTCGCTGAGAATACTATTGCTTAAATTATTTTCACATGTCAAACAGAACCCTTATACTATTTTAAATATTTTGTAAAGGTATTAAAAAATTAAAAACGTTTGGGTTTTTTTTTCATCAAAAGTATTGTAATGAATGCGAAATTATCTTCTATTTACATTGCCATCAATGTAAATAGAAGATAATTTGTAAAATATTAACAACTTTGCAGAACTATATTACTAACATCATAAACAACTTTTGTTCCATTAAAAAATGATTCATCAGATTTTATTTTCGTACAAAAATAAAAATATTTTAATAGACAACGGACAGAAAGCGTTTAGCGTAAATACCAGTCAGAAGCAAAACGCAGGACCGGAAGTGGGGGGCGCTGGGGAGGACCGTTGCACATTAATTTGAACTTACTACTTTATGTTCCATGACTTTTAATGAGATTTTACTTTCATACAAACAAAAAATATTGAGATAGATCGAACTAAACGGTGAAAACTTTGTGCGGTAACAAAAGAAAGCACAAGAGTAAATCAGTGATTTTGAGGTAAGTTTATTGTACTCAATTTTGGTGACAATTTTTATTATTCAATTACTCGAATAGTGAACTACTGAAGAATATTTCAGGTTACCACATTCGAATATTAAATAACACTTCATGATGATATTCTATAAATATTTAAATAAAAAGAAATTAATTAAATTTTTATTGAATTGATATTCAATTATTTTTTGTGAAATTACTCCACTAGTTTGTTATAATTATTAATACAAAGATCGAACACTCAGAAAAAACACTCAGAAAAAATTCCTTCGATCCGGTCGGATCCGACCAAAAAGAAATTGTTACCAAAATTGAGTACACAAAACTTACCTGAAAATCACTGAAATACTAATCTGAAGCAAACCGCGAGGGGAGGGTGGGGGTCGTCGGATAGGAAGCTTGCACCTTTGACTTTAGTAAGTTCAAAGTAAATACCTTACTACGAAATACAGATCTAAAAATTTTCAGATGGTACAACAAAAACTTGAAAGTTTATTTTTTGGTAAATTTATTACGTTTTGTCAAAAGTAATTAAACAGAAGTTGTTGTTTTTGATGTTAGTAATATGGTCCTGCGAAGTTGTTAATATTTTACAAATTGCCCTGTATAGTATACACATGATAAATAATTTCATCAAACAATTGCAGTGTGAGAAGCAATATCTTGTTCGCAAATAGCGTTCTATGTAGATGGAACTGATTACAGCAATGCATCGAGTATTTTTTTTTTACTATTGCGAAAGTTTATTATCAAAATGCTTCTTACGAAAAATTCCTTGCTGTTTTACAAACGAGTTTAACCCTGATAATGATCATAGTGACATCTAAGAAACAGCTGTACAAGATTTAAAGCAAGAGAACCAACTCAGCGTGCGATAGAACCGTTCGGGTTGTGAGTCTTGATGGGAGTTCCTAGATGGCGCCACTATGTACCACATCTTAAGGTTTTTTTATGATTCTATGTGACGAGACGAACAAGTTGTACGGCTGGTTTTAAGTGACACGCCTGTCTATAGCAGTTGCAGTGTCACTCAGTGCTTTAAATAGCAAAGATTTGAGGGGCATTGTCATTGTGGCCGTCACCTTGAGACATAAGTTGACAAGTCTCGTGCGCCTATAGTAACCAATTTACCATTATCCTTATCCTTCAAAACTGAAACGAATTAATGTTCATATTACTGCTTGGGAGCTCCACTGTTAGAAAAAGGTTTTGTTCCTAAAAGCCTTTCAATCAGTATTGTATACTTATATAAACAAGTAAGTAAACATAAAGTATTGCATGTTATTTCGGTAATGGCTGCTTATAGAGAACATTCGCTTACTAAAATAGAATTCGGCTAGAATTTCAAGTAAATTGATACGTATTACTCTGCTCCTACAGAGTGGTCCCAAAAGGGTTGCGAGTGATTTTAGTCATTAGTAACAAATTTTACCACATGGTACGATTTTCGTATGGGCTCCTCTGGAATCGAAAAAAATACATTATCTATGCCATATATTTGGTTCGAGTAAGTACAGTAAAACCATTTTTAACTGACTTCAAAAAAGGAGGAGGTTCTCAGTTCGACTCTACGTTTTTTTGTATGTATGTTACGCGATAACTCTAACTACGGGATTTGTGCACCGATTTTGATGATTCTTTTTTTGTTGAAAAGAGGGTACCTCCATATTGGTCCTATTTCATTCTGAAGAAAACCATCCACCTTTAAGGATGGCTGTTCACGCATGAGGACTCATTTTTATAAATAGCGCCTAATTTTATTACAAGGAGCAATTATTTTAATTGTTTATTTTGCTATTCTCCAATTTAAGGCGTTTTTCTCTCAATATATTATGTACCTTAAGCAGAGAGAACTGATTTTTATTATCTCCTGTGTTAAGTCCTGTACATGATCGTAGATCGAAACCGGGATGAATCCGGGTTTGCGCGCTTACCGATGACCGATTTCAATAAAATTTGGCAAATAGAAGTCATTCCACGAACTTTCGAAGTCGGTTTTTTAGTACTCTGTACTGAGATTATCTTAATATTGACTGCCTCCGTGGCCGAACGGTTACCACGATGGTCTGCCACGCAGAGATCCCGGGCTCGATTCCCGGATTGAGAGAAATATTTGTATGGCCTACATTTATTTCTCTCGCGCGTTGGGGTGTAATTTGTGGTTGTCTATGTGTGTGTCCGTGGCACCCGCGATACAGGGTTTCCCTAGTGCGAGGCTATGAGTGTGTGCGTTATTATTAGTGGCAGTTTGGGATTGGTACAGACCGGACGCACACTATTGACTTGGAATAATATAGAGTAGCTACTACTCTTGATTAGATCTATATTTTTGTTAACTACATATTTGTCTATAGAAAGAATGAACGTTGGTAGATTGACGGCACCAATTTATAGAACGAATTTAAAAAAAATAATATTTAATGACGAACAAGTCGTACGCCTGATCTGATCTACACGCCTGTGTATAACAGTTGCAGTGCCACTCAGAGCTTTAAATCGTAAAGACACTGCTAGTGCGCCCGACAACCTAAGACATAAGTTGACAAGTCCCATGTGTCTGTAATTTCACTAGCACTCTCCCTTCAAAACCGGAACACAGTAATGCTAACATTACTGCTTGGCGGCAGAAATAGGTAACGTGGCAGTACTTCCCTGGACGAATTCTTTCACAAGGAGCTCTACTGGTACTAAGCTGTAGTTGGAGGCGAGGGGTTAGGCATACCTCAGCGTACATATCTCAGTCATAATGCTAGGGTCGGCAGACTAAAGCACATAAGTCAAAAATGTGTTTCTCGTTGTTAATATATAATTATATATTTTTTTGTGTTGTTTTTAGTGTTGGAAGTTAAAAAACCTCTAGAATAAAGTACAAAATTTATGAAGTGACAAATGAATTTGACTTATGTGCTTTAACCAGTAGATGTATTAATTTAAATGAATGATGTTAGATTTTGACTTATGTGCTTTAGTCCGCCGACCCTAAATTATGGTGTGTCCTTAAAAAAGATAGGCTTAAAATGACACAGGCTTGATGACATATTGGTATATTGTCAAGGAGTAATCGTTATTATAAAATAGTCTTACATCTCTTACGACTATTACATATAGGAAATGAAATTATTAATAATAAAATCACGTATATTTGTAAGTATTATAATTAATTACATCATACATATTGGGTTCTCAGTAATAAAGCGACGACATTTGCGTCGTAAAGGTGGACTTCACCATCTCAGTCAGCCGTGATCACGGAACTTGCAAAGAGTCCGAAACGTTGGTTTCTTTTAAGGGTCGATACAACCTCGAATGGCTTTGGTTGATTCTGCATAACAGTGAAAGTGTTGAATATATCACTTTGTAGTAATACGGAATCGGAAGTATACCGCACTAGAGTTATTCATTCTTTTTTTTATTCTTTGCTAATGAACTATTTTGTTATGCATTTTGAAGAACAATGATAACGATATCAAATTGCGTATATAGCTAGCTATCTTTGTCGTTTAATCCTCGTCGTGAAAATTATGAAAATTTTGTTTCTATATTTGTTTATATAGATATATATTACTTTGAAATACATAATACGCTGTCAATTTGTTAGTTTCCTTATTGTTTCCTTGACTATCTAGAATATCTGAAAGGTTTTTTGCGATTTCTGACATTTAGAGTACTCTTACCTCAGTTGGTCCCATAGAGATGTTGGTCCTCACCAGAGACCTAATTCAATGACATAAGAAAAAGTTTAGTATTTTAAACTTTTATGATAAGTTTTAATAAATTTCACTTTGATGATTTCTATTTTATCGAATTTTTTGATACGGATTTGATTAATTATGATTGATTGTAATATTAGTTTTATACATTTTGACTTTAGAACTTCTGTAATTTAATTTCATTTAATTTAAGTTAAACGTAAATTGCGGTACCCTACAGTTATATTGCTGTACTTACATTTATTTTAAGAACTTGCGTGTTACACCTTGTAATGCATTAAATGAATAAATAGGTAAAAAGATACAATGATTACGTAACGTAATGAACTAATGGTATAAGTTATTAACAGTATAATGCATTAAAACTAAAAGGTAATTAAATTATTGTTTTGGGTTGTGGTGTTCCAGGGCGAATTCTTAAATAAATCAGACAAATAAACCTTGATATTACTTAATGGTTTTAACGATGATTTTGCGTATTAAAATTTTGTTTATTGAGTATTTTAAGGAAGTCATTAAACTGGATTAGATTGATCGTAATTGCAAACGATAATAATGATACGGACAAATATGACGTAAGTCGTTGTGATTAAAAAATATTTGTTTGCGTCCTATATTATATTATGCTCGCTTGTTGTTATTTATGGAAAACTTTTCATTATTTAGAAACTAAGTTAAAATTTACATGTTACTTAGTCATTCCAATTTGTTGTGACACTAAGTAATGGGATGAACAAGTCGTGCGCCTGGTGGTAATTGAAACGTTTGTCCATAGAAGTGCCATTACGAGCTTTAAATCATAGAGA